AATTACTTTATTTCATTTCGGTTACGTGAGTGGAATAAGAAATGATTGCAAGAGCGTATCACACGGAATAAATACGCAAATATTATGCAATCAGCTAGGTATTTTTGGACACGTTAGTGGACCTATGGATTGCTTCAATATTATGTTGTTGTTGTTCTTTGACACTTTTTGGACACCTAGTGAAAAATCTAAAAAGTCGCTTTTCTCTTTGATTACTGGACCAATTGCTTTGAAATTTTCAGTGGTTAAAGATGAAATTTTTCTCCAGAAGGCTATTACTTTTATTTATTTTAAATATTCCTGTTAGCTCTGTGAGATTTGTTTTTGTTTGCTATAACGTCAGAAATTTACATAGACGACCTGCAATAGAATCCCAAGGAAAGCATTTACTTGTCTTAGAAGAACAGAAAACTGATTGACCGTACGTTACATTGATTAGCTATATTTCATCATAATCGGGAAAAGATGGCGTAGTTTCAGAATAAGTACAAGAGAGCTACGCACAAATATATGGACACGTTAGACCAGAGCGAATCAGTCCTTACCGGTACCTTTGACGCTACCGGTACCCTCAAAAAAGTTATGAATTTCCAGTAGCAAGAATTTTGCAGAATCAAAACGTACAGCCAGTCATGACACTGACTAAAATCCGTGTTCCCATGGATAAAAAATAATACAGCAAAATTTTAGACGAAATATCAAATTTCATAGAATTCACGCAAAATTTTGAAATAAATAAAAGTAATAGCCTTCTAGCGAAAAAATTAATCTTTAACCACTGAAAATTTCAAAGCAATTGGTCCAGTATTCGAAGAGAAAAGCGACTTTTTAAAAACGTGTCAAAGAACAAGAACAACAACATAATATTGAAACGATCGTTATGTCCACTACGTGTCCAAAAAGGGTACATCCATGGGCTTGTCTAGAAGGGAGCCATATATGCAGCATAGGAACAGACAGCGCTCCAGAAGTATGTGTACCAATATGTAGGTGACTAATTTTGTACGCCTATTTCACATCAAGTTGTGTAAAGGGAATGAAACCTATAGCCAGGGGGATACTCACTTTGCGAAATATAATTAAAAATAGGGAAAATCGAAATAAAATTAACCTGGTACACATACTACGGGAGTACCGAACAGACTCCCCGGGCATCACATTATCGGGGTGAGTTTGTTTCTTAGTTTGATGATTGAAATAGTAATAATAATACAAACATTCCACTCTTACTTGACCATATATTTTATTTATTCTCATTTCCAGCAACATCGATATTTGTTTGATCACCAAATTATTTTGAAGTTAGGAATAAGGGGCATCACTATCAAGACTTGTCACGGCCAGCAGGAAAGTTTGGCACGCCCCTGGGCAGACCGCACGTGCATTTCGTATCTGGTGCGTGCGGTAGGATGTTTAATCTGTCGCGAGGTTTCTACGACAAACTTTATGTGGTTTCTCCTTCTATTTTCAGTATGTATGTAGCAATGTAGGGCGGCAGTGGTTCCCAACCACCGGTCCACGGAAACCTTGCTGCCGATCCGCCAAATTTATTTCAATATATATATATACAAAGTATTGACAGCATGTCCATTAATTTTGTGATTTTTTAACTCTTATTGATTCGTAGTACCGGTATTCGGTTATTTTGGAGGTCCGCAAAATTTGTTTTGAAATCGTATCAGTCCGCGAACTGAAAAAGGTTGAGAACCACAGATGTAGGGTGGTCACGTAACTGCTTTTCTCCGCCAACGAGTCCAAGCTTCCGAATACAAATAACTAACTAATCCCATAACCGACATGGACTGGTAATCGGACGAGAGGCCGCGGTTCACTTTCCGATTAGGCTGTATTACCGACTTTCCATTCGTCCGGGATAAAATTTAAGTCCTATTTCCCTATCCTATGTATGATATCGTTCTATCTCTAAAAATAGAAAATATCAAACTGATGAACGGCCTTCCAGTTTCACTATTTCTCCGCTGTCAGTTCGAAACTTGGTTTGCGCTAAATTATCTTCTGCGTCCTGTCGCCGATGATCGCATAATAACGCACTTTTCCTGTCAGTTTATTATCCGCATTTACAAAGTTCAATGGGAACCATAGCGATGGTGCTCCATCATTGAGAAATGCTCGCCCTGACAAATTCAAAAAATAACTGGCGACGATTCGCTGAGGAAATTTATAGGATGGAATCTGCAGCTAAAATTTCCGAATAAATTCATTCTGATTTTCGTTTCGGCTCTGATTGTTCATACCGCCTTCGTAAAATTAAAAAAATATCAATATCTATATGGCTGGCTCCTGGATTCGTTTTCTTTTTTCTGTTTGTATTTTTCTATCGAGTCTAAGTTATTTTTTCCTTCAAAACAAAACCTCTGAATTGGGGATTCGAATTTCACCAAATGGCCTACTAAAAAATGTGAAACTCATGCGATATTGGCTTATCATACGTCCCGCTGTAGACGGGACAGTCCCGCCGTCCCGACAAGTCAGCCAAACGTCCCGCTTTTGCGTTCAGCCATCCAGCATAATATACGAACATGTTTTCGTTACTGTGTAGCGCAACGCTAGCGTACTTACTGAAGGTGAATGTGTTATTCTGTTTGTTTCGTTGTTTCCCGTTTTACATTGTTTAGCGAACGTATTACATGTAAAATTAATTTTAGTTAGTCCTGTTCGGACGTTCACGTGAATGTAACATTGAACAACGATTTTTTAAAGGTGTTATCCACAGAAAAGCATGCTTGGGTGAATAAGTAAATTCTTTATGCTTGAAAACGGCAGACTATTTCATTATTCTTTATTCCTTTTGTTGTACATAAAAAAATCTAAATTCGGATCATTTGTATCGTTAGCGTCTATTCCTTTGTATTTTTCGAACTGAACCCGATATTTAGACAGAGAATATGCGCATGAACTCTCGATGACGATATGGTCAATGAAGGCAGCCGGGATGGCTGAAATGTAGGCCTATGTAGTAAAATCGGAAACCGTAAAGTTACAGGAGGCGTCCCGCTTTGGAGTCAAAAAATATGGTAACCCTAGATATTGGTGCCCAATTAGATCATCTAAAACAGTGGTCGGCAACCACCGGGCCGCGGCCCATCGCCGGTCCGCGGAAAGGTTACTGCCGGTCCGCAGAGAGGTGACACAAAAACGGAAAAGGCCGTAATAAAACCTCTACAATCTAACCACAAACCCAACGACTAAAAACAGCACCCAACACAACAGTAAACCAGACAAACACAACGCCGAGGGTCGGCAAAACTGCGAACCGTGAGCTAATTTGTTGCGGCCCTCGAACGACCCGACATTTAATACATAAAACCAAATATGATTCTAAATTTATTATTGCCTCTACACGGATTTATGTGGTAACAAGTGCTGATGTACGGTGCTTGTTTTGTAATAAGTAGCGTTGGGTGTATATCGTTCGAGTTAATTTTGATTTTTTAAAATTAAAAATTTCTGGGAAACGGAGCGACGAGGGTCGAGCATTCCAAAGTGCTTGGACGAAAACATATTTTTCTTCTGTGCTCATCTGTGCGCTAGTGAAAAAGGTGTAATGTGCACGGTCGAAAGAATATATGGCCTTGAGCAGATTTATCTAAAATGCATTACACTTAGAATAAATTTCGTACTCGCCTGTCAGATTATTATTTGGACGACAAGTTACCATAAAATCATCATCTTTCACATTGATAATAAGTGAAGTTCAATTAATGTAGCGATTGTTCGAAGGTGGAAATAGAAATATTGCGGCCCGCGCGCTACCGGAAATGTGTATATTTGGCCCGCAAGTACATGAAGTTTGCCGACCACTGCACAACACTATTGAGCAGCATGTCTGACTTCATAAACAATTGCTATGTCCGTATGTCGCAATAATGCTGGGTCAATTGTTATCTCTACGCCCGTATAAGAATGCCTCTTATCAGTCCGAATAAGATCTCCTCAAGAAAATGATACATGCATTGTTAACTTTCCCGAAATCTTATTAATATGAGGCCTGGTTTTCAATATTGATAACTACAAAAACGAAATAATATAAATAAATGTCGACCATATCTCGAATATGGGAACAGTTAATGGCCATCAAACAAATACAGATATCGCGTTAAATAGCATCACCGTCGTTTTTAGTATATATATTGTCAACATAAATTTCATAATGCGTTTAATGTATTCCATAGGCTTAGTTCGTTTGTATAAAGGTGGTCCGCCAACATTTTGGTCAGGCTTTACCGGTCCGTCACTTGAGAAAGGTTGCCGACCACTGATCTTAAAAAATCGCAGCTATTGAGTTACAGGAAACAAATAGATAAAAAATAAATATACCACTCAATTTTAAGGTGAGCGAAAGGAGCGCGTAGACTCGTGTTTTTTTTTACTTTATTTTTTTACTCTGACTCCAGGAAGTTTAAAAATTTGGTACTCGCGTAGTATGTGAACTAAGATGGCAGGCAAGGGAACATAGTACGGTATGTGTACCAGGTTAGGCCATAATTTCATTCCGATTTTCCTTATTTCAGCTCAAATACGAGTTCGCTGACTGTCTGTGTTAGCCAAGAGTGTATCCTCCTGCCCATACCGGTAGCTACTCACGTAGTATGTGAACGAAGATAGCGGACACTGGGACATGGTACGGTACGTGTACCAGGTTAGGCCATAATTTTATTCCGATTTTCCTTATTTCAGCTCTATTATGAGTTCGGGGACTGTCTGTGTTAGCCAAGTGAATATCCCTAGGTACTCCCGTAGCATGTGAACCAAGGTGGTAGACACCGGGACGTAGTGTGTGTACCAGAGGTTAGGGTCAGGCCATAATTTCAGGTACAAATACTACAGGAGTCCCTTTGCTAGTCCCCGAACCCAATATAGAACTAAAATAAGGAAAATTGGAATCAAATTATGGCCTAACCCTAACCTGGTACACATACTACGAAAGTTTGAAAACTCGACCCAGCGACCCGGACTTCTTGGGAATCCAAAAAAGAAACTTATTCTGGAACATTTTATTTTTTAGGAATCAGAGAAATCGCACAATAAAAATAAAGATTTGAATTTTTAATCAACTAGTTTCGTTTCCATGAATATAATGACACCGGCCACTATGAGTCCACTCAGCCATCCTCGCTTTGCCAACTGAAATAGAAAAAATGATGGTTACAAGCTGGCATCCATCCACTCATATATAGCATTATATAGAGCAGGAGTGTGGCCACCCGTGGGCCAAATGCTGCTCACAGGGAAAATTGTGCGGCGCATGGTGAAGTGCCAATTTTGAATGATGTGCGGCCCGCGAAACAAGTTTTTAATTTTCCCCTTTTTTGACGTCATAAGATTAATCAATCAACATTTTTGTGCCTGTTACTACTAGAAATCATATGTTAAATAGAAGTACGACCCGCGGTTTCGGTCGGTTATTAATATCTGGCCTCTCCTGCATTAGAGGTTGCACAACCCTGATATAGAACAAGGGTGCGCAACATTTTTTGTCAGTGGGCCATATAACCAACTTTGGACATCCAGCTGTGCCACGCAAACAATTATGTTTTTCCATGCACACAACGAATTAAAAAATAGTTTACTGAATGACATCAAATTCTAGCTAAAGTGCCAAGCAACCACAATGAGATATTATTATGTCACAAAATAATGTTGCAAACAAGCGTTAAATGAAAGCCTGCAACTAACAGTGATACAGGCACCAGGAAAAACGACGAAAGATTTAACGCGGCGACAAGAGCAAAAATACTTATTTTTACCATATTGATGTCCTTTCTGAACATAAACTGTCAGATTGGGATTAGTAACAAATTTGCAATTTGTCACTTCAAATCATCGAATATTACCCCAATTAATCTTAAAAACTTGACTTTCGACTTAGCACCTGTAAATTTCCATGAGCATAAAAAGATTCCACAGGACATTGAAATCATCGCTATTTTTAAACTTAAACTAGGTCATTTCATAAACTTTACAAGATATTCGACCTAAAGAATAGTGCCGATGAAATAAGAAATTATCGTGTACATCCGAAATTCCTCCTATCAAAAACGAGACAAACTTGAATTTGATTGGTCGAGGAAAAACCTTCTTCCCGAAAAAGTAATAAATAAAGATAGACAAATTATCCTCTAAATTGAGAAACCCCCAATTCCATTTAAATAGACTGATCGGGAAAAAGAAAATAGAGTGTTGGGAGAAAGGTTAGCTGTTCTAGTTAATTCTGCTGCTATCTAATGGACAATGCTATTTAAGGTACAATTTATATTTTATGATTTAAGTCGTGTTTTATATTTTCTTGTTATTGACGATCGTAATTGTTTAACCGGAGCAACAAAATTATACTAAAGGATGGATATTGAGTTGATCTGTTATATAAAATTAACAGGAGCTCCCAATTGAGCACGTATACCTTCTGATTAATATAATTGTTTTATATCGAAGTCTAGATAGTAGGAGCACAATATATATATCAAAGTAGTTAACTAGTAAACATCAACTAACGAAGAAGATAGCCAACAGCAATTTTTGGTTACAGATTTAATGCGTGATGGGGAAAAATATGAGTGTGGACAAGGCACACACTAAACGACTCGCGGGCCGCCTGTTGCACACCCCTGATATAGACTCATCTATAGCTCGAAGCAAGGACTGCTACACTGAAACAATACGACTAATTGGACATTTACGGAAGAGTGAATGGCATAATATGGGGAGAGGTAAACTGATGTGACAGATAAATCCTATCGCGAGCAATGGTTTTGTTTGGCTATCATTCCAGGGCAAGTACAAGAATTGCTAACTAGTTCATGATGTGAAGCTCTGCTCTTACTAAAGACGATAAACACCTACCACACAAATCATCCATGCATGAGCAGAATTCAACACAAAAATACTTACAGTATATAATGTAACTGGTGGTCTACTTCTGATAGCATATTCTGCCCAAACCTCATTCCTAAGCCAAGGATCCTTGAGACCAATCTTTGCCAATCTCTTTTGTATAGGTTCGTAACTTGTGCCTTCCACTTTCCATGTCCTGGGAATAAAGAACAGCCCTTAGCAAAATAGGCAGAGAGAATTACGGTATTTCAATATCAGAAATGAGACCCCAAATGCCCAAGGGTTCCAATACTAGGCTCTTGTCTCCCTAAGGCACCACTAGAAGAACATCTATTAGCCAAATGGACAAATATGTGAAACATCTTACCAGATTTTATTATCACAAATTACAAAGTAAACACTATGATACATTTCAGTTCAAACAGAAAATATTCCAAGTGATTTAAAGACTCTTGTTACACAGCAATAACAATGTATTTCTGTAAGTTTCATCGGGCACATATTACGCAATAACGAAACTAGGGGGTCTGATTTGTATTTTCAAGTCTCCCAGAGACTAAGTTCTCTGAAGTCGAAATTACAATTTACAGACTTTCAATGTAAATGAATTAAGTCAAAATTTTCCCCAAAAACTCAAATTGTTACGTTTTGTTTACTAAGCTGTATCAGTAACAGGCTACAAAAAAAAAGGCTCACAAGTGCCAAAGTTTTCATTATCAAAATTTGTTTTGGCTCCGATCTGGAGCTGAAGTCAAATTCTCTTTAAATGTTATAAATTTTTCCCTGACTTAACCGCCCCGCACCCACCTAGGGCACCGAACCCCTCACAAAATCCCTCATAGGATAGCGAAAACCAGGGGCGGGTAAGGTTTTTGGACCAGTAGCAATATAAGTGGTTATAAAAAGTTATATTCTATGAACAAAATTTTATTTACAGTGTTACAAAAGCAAAAATGAAAAAGAACAAGCCTCGTGCCCAAACTAGATTTAATCACAATCTCAACAAATTCTTCAAGCAAAAACATCAAAATTTGGCTTCAGTTTGGTAGTGACAGCATCGGGCAGGCCAGATTAAATGACCTAACGAGCATGATATGGACTGCGGGCTGTAGTTCAATGTCAGCTATATACCCTCGCTGTGTGATCAGTGGTGCATTTGAAAGAGCGTTCTTATTGAATACAAGGCTGCATATACAACACAAGTTCAAGCAGTAAAAATCAGCAATAAACAATATTCAAGAAAAAATTTAATCACTCAGTTTCACTGGGGTCAGGAAGACGCAGGAAACCAAAGCTGGTTATAGAGCAATGATACCCAAGATTCTGAAATCTAATTAACAGGTCGGGCGCTTTCTTTACAAAACCACCGTTGTTGTTGTGACTTGTGAGTATCGTACATCGTATGGTACGATAATCTAACTAACATCTCTCACATCTTTATTAGTGATTTTTAAGAGCTATCAAGGCCACAGATGAACGAGGTATTTCCCGCTTCAACTGGATCACTTGAAGTCATGACGCTTCTGCCGTGAAAAATTAAAAGATGGCTCGATCACCCACGTTGTTACGATGGCAAGAGTTGAAAGATGAAACTTCTGGTTAGTCACGGTTTCATCCAAATTAATAAAAAAAACTGTGGCTTTCATTATAAGCACACTGACTCAATATTCAAATCCAAGACTCACCTCCAACTAGGTTTATATTCTTTCGGGATATCGTTCCAGCCGATGCCCATGATCTGTGCTGTTCCAGAAATTAATATTACATAAATACTAGTTGGCTAAAATTAAACGGATATCATTAGGCACAAAATTAAAGAAGATAGTACGATTAAAAATATACATATACTAGAAAGATGAAAAATTTGAATAATTATGCCACTGGTAGCAATTTTCAGAGCATGGCATGTCGCGAAAAATTATGGATTTCGCCACTAGCAGCAACTTTCAGAACATGCCCTGTTCGCCACTAGTAGTAATTATTTGAGAATGATATGTTTTGATAGATCGACATCAGGAATGCTGGTCTCCAGCACCCTCGGAATAAAAATAAAGGTCATAGATTAGCATTTTTTCCCGGAAGTCGCCCCTAGTAGGAATTTCGGATGTGATGCATGCCAATGCTCGAAAATTTTAGAGGATATATATTTTAGAAGTGATACCTCGACAGTCAAACATGATTTGGTCAAGATTGGTGTTCCACCGCCAAAACTATTTTTGTCATGAAAAACAATGGTATGTCAACTCGTTATCATGCGTTCCAAAATAATACCAAAGCATATACATTATAAAGATTAAATACATAATCCATAATAAAGCTAGGTATCGCCACTAGTAGGTATAATTGAAGCATGTCACAAAAATGATAGACGATATATACTTGAATATGAGACAAAAAATGGAGTCGGATTTAAGCTAACGGGACTTTGCCACAGGTAGGAATATTTGAAGCATTAATGTCACAACAACAATCATACATTTTGCCACTATGGCATTCTACAAATAAGTCTAATTGTTAAATTTTTTGGATCATGATATGTTTTAAACAAAAATATAGATCTAATCTAGGTCTAATTGAAGCGCGTCACAAAAATTATAGAAGCTTTATACTCGAATATGAGAGAAAACAGGGTTGAATGAAGCTCACAAGATTTTGCCACTAAGGTACAATTGAAGCGTGTCACAAAAATTATAGAAGATACATACATGGATATAAGAAAAAATGGGGTCGGATGAAGTATGTCATATCGTCATGGCCTTGAATTATGACAGATTTGCCACGAATAGAAAGCACAATTATGGACAAATTTACAAGCAATAGAAATTTTGGGAGCATGTCAAATCACAACAACGATCAAAAATTTTTCGGACATAGTTTTTGAAATATAATTTGGAACAAGATAGCTCCAAAGAAAAGTACAGAAGCCTAATCACACAAAAAATCAATGTTGCATGACAATACAGAATAAGTCCATCCTATTTGATGGGGGATGTTGCTGCCGAACGAAACTCAAGCAAAACTAAATTTCAAAGTCAACGTCCGACCATTTTTTCAAAACTTTGATCATATCGCCAGATTCCATAGAGATAAAATGCAGGCTCTCATTATCTTTGGCCATAGATACTACGTGCTCAGAGTTCTGTTGACTAACGTACTCAAGTCTTTGCATTTTAATCGGAAACTTCGTTATCCGAAATATCATCATTTTCAACGCTGCTACGGTCATAGATCGTGGAAGTTTTTTCTTCAGTGGTTTTATATCCGGTGTGTCTGGAAAGGCAATGATAACATCCAGTAAGTTACTCTTTAATGCAGTTGATTTGACAAAAAACTCGGCATCATCGCAAGCGCCATGCTCTTTCACTAGTTCCATATACCTGGGGTGGTTTCGGGTGAATTCTGGCGACGGGTTATTTTTTTCAGGGTTTTGATTCCCCCCACTTTCTCTCCAGTACCTCCCGTTCTTTTTTAAATAATCCATTTCCGCGCCTTGACGTTCGATTGTGTCCACTATACTCCGATTCAGCATTTTCAAACGAGCGATTTTCGCTACAATGATTTCACGCATTGTGTCCGCTGTTTCTTCCAATAAAACAGGGTTTTTTCGAAACATCATTTTTTCCAGATTTTTCAAGTTGTTCAATTGGTTGAAAACCTCCATTTTATCGAACTTATTTCCAGATAAGCAAATTTGTTTCAGCCCCACAAAATCTTTTCCTGTCAATTGTGCTTCATGGAGTTCGCATTCATTCAAAATCAGCTCTTCCAACCCTGAAAGGTTGGAAAGACTCAGAACATTCTTCCAATCCTGAATCGGATTCGTAGCGAGGCCTAGAACTTTTAGCCGAGCAAACATGCCGTTCTCTGGTCTGCTTATTTCCTTGATTTTATTTTTGTCGAGATATAATTCGACAATATTGGGCCACAATCCCAAGCATGAAACAACATCTGACCACTTGAGGGAGCAGCTGTTTAGAATGAGTGTATGTAACGAAGCAAAACTGTCCATTAGCATATCGGGTTGTTGCGGAATTTGCATGATATTCCCACTCACATTTAACTGTTGAAGCATTTTCAATTGCTGGCAAATTTTTGCGATGCTTTCCCACTCATGAAAAAGATTTTTTGACAGATCCAAGTCCTGAATATTGGGAGCTTGGTTCAACAAAAAATTTTCGTCTCCGGGATGCGAAATATTTTCAAATCGCAATCCAACCATGGTAAGATTTTTCAAGTCTTTGAATACTTTTTGTACTTGTTCCATTCCAATGGCTTCCACTTTTGTTTTTTGAGCTGTTCCTGGGTCTTCAAAGTAAAGTTCCTCTCCTGGGGCAGTCCCATCCTTACAGTTATAGCTTGCATATCTTTCCACAAGGGCTTGAGATAATGAAATTCCAGTTGACAACTTATGGGGTCTCACAAACGAACCACCAGTGTCCGATTCACAGGTGAAATAACTCACGCCATCTTTTGTCCCATTGTGCTTACCCCTGGACGTATCATCCCATTCAATACCAACCCAGTCACCCTTAGTAGTGGGTACTGGCCCTACATAGCGTACAGTTCCAAAATATTCTCCCACGGAAGCGCGCTGCCCCACGTAAATTACTCCCTCGGCACCCATTGTCCACCTCAGTCTGGAAGGCGACCTGACATCAGGAATGATTGTCTCTGGCGCCCTCGAGATTAAAATAGAGGTCATAGGTTAGCCTTTGTTTCCACCGCATGTATATTTTAAGAATCTAAAATCTGGGAAAGACATAAAATTTCAAATTTAAGAATGTATCCAAAATTAATTATTATTATTAGTATAGACAAAACAGTCTATGCAACAAAAAACTGGTAAAGTCCACCTGTGTCCAGCTTAACCTTGCATGAGGCGATGGCCAATGAATGAGCCGTCTTATCCACTTCCTTATCCTCAAAATAAATTTAAAAAAATTTGATAACAAAACACACCCTCTATCTATCTATATTTCACGTCGCAATACTTTTGAAAGGACGACACAAACGTAATTATCCTTTGCACGACAAGCGTTCTAAACTGTTTCTTTGTGTGAGAGGTAACGGCCCGTGGCGAGGTATAATTCATTACTCGCTATATACTTGTACTGTTATATAATTTAACGGGCTTCGTATAAAACGTTTCAAAATACACGTCATGTGTGTTAGTGAATAGGTCTTTATTGCTCGTATTTCCACTGCCCATGTTGGTATGATATCGCAATCTTAAAGTTCGATTAGAGAGTATCCTATCTCATCGTATTCTTTTACTTATATTCATGTATTCTTGCATTGTTCACAAGCTTAAGTTCCGGTAAATAGTATCTTATTTTGCTTTTTTGTTTCTATGTCACAAAGCGAAATTGGCAATGTATTACTTTTAAACCTCATTTACAGTTAACCTTGCTAATGTGAGGAACGCCGCTATACTAATATGCACCAAGACAATCGATAAGTATATGCCAAAGCGAATATATTAAAGCGATATTTAGAAACTTGTCTAATAATTTAAAGATATTGGAGCACAATGCGAAAACTGTTTCTGCATCGTTTTCGTACTAAGGACTTTCTCAGACTATATGAAACAACATTATATTCACAATAATTCACACCGCGAAGGTATAAAAAAGAAATCTCTAGCTTAATATCTAACGAACGGAAACCACATTCTGGTTAGTTTGCAGCCAGATTCTTCAATCACATAGAATTATTTTTTTGCTACAGCATTCTTGCAATATACGAGTCTGATTTTTGACTCCGGTCTGGCAGAGTGTAATAGTGCGCTGCAAGACAATATCCTTACCCTTGCTACAGCATTCTTTGATCATAAGCGTACAGTCGGTCCGATGCAAACGCTTTGGTATGGCAAAGGTATTATTCTCACAAAGGTATAGAAATGAGTTAAGGTTCTGCAGTAGAACTCTTAAATCACTCAGAAGAATGAGTACTTAGTCTTTGCAAAATATAGAAATACATTTGCGTCAGTACATGCGGCAAGACTTTGACTTACTCAGAATAATCTCCACTTTTATTACTATAGAATCATCGCATTATACACAAACTCACTAGCGCAGTAGCATACATATATACACAATCAATAACACACAGTAATTTTTCAGCAAAACAATCCATAGTACTTACACGCACTTAGCGTAACGCTGTAGCCTCAGCAGTCTGACAATACACGACTATACTTGTAATGATTCAAACGCTCTCACTTCCTCGATGACGTCATACCTGGTTATCTACTTAACATGAGCGGAAACTAGGTCGATGACAAAGGAAAGAGGGAAACGCAAATACGGCGTAGTATACATACTCAAACAAATATGGGCCGTACTTGAGGCGAGCCAATATCTTGCTCGACTAAGCTCCTTGCAATTAAATCTCAAATCTTTCAATTGACAAGGCAATGTGACGGAATAAAACTGACAAATTACATCGTTATGCTTTATGCATTATCAACGCTGGCCGTAAATGGTATAAGCCTAATTCTTTGAACGCCAAATATGCGGAAGACGTATGGTCGGCCGCCTTACATGGCCCGTAGTTCAAACGTGTAAAAATTCAGGCTGTATGTCAGGTCAAGCATGTCTGATATATGCTTTATATATTCGCATCATTTGCCGTAGCAAACATGAGCTAGGTCGTGGGGGCGAAAATGTTTCGTCTATCCCAGTGGTTCTCAACCTGTGGTACGCGGAAGATGATCATGTGGTACGCGAGCAGCTTCGAATTATTGCAACAACTAACTTTTGAGTTGGCTAAAATATGCCGACAACACTTCGTCTTCCATACTTTATGTATTCGTTGAACGG